TTATTTATCTTAAGATATGAAAGAGATAGGGTTTTCTCCATTATCTATGTCCTCTCCTGCCATGTGTATTTGGCTGAGTTTACAGTGCCACCCATGAGCTCTCTCCCACTGAAAGGGCTGCAAGCCCAATTAGATAGTTGTTTATTGCCCCTCACCCCCCAGATAACAGTGCCACTACTGCACCAATAGAGGTAATTTGCCATGCCAGTCATTATGGTTATTAGGCTTTAGGGCTGAGTTGGACCATTGATTGATTATTCTCCCTTGGCAGTTTGTATATCATCATCTAGTGTCATGATAGCCGAACTTCAGTTAGAAGGCTTCCAGTTCAGTTCCCACTCCATTGTTTCAAGTCCTGTATCGTAAGTACATCCTGTCCTCTACACTACAATTTTATCTACTAGTTCTGAGAGATAACCAAAAGGTTTGACAATATCCTGTGTTTTTTTGACCACCTTCACCAACCACTCTAAAGGAGATCTCTTCTGTCTGAAACTATGTTCCCTGCCAAGCAGCTCCCAGGTACACATATACATTAATGTTCAGACACTGTATATGCATTTCTCATAGGGTTTTGAGGGCATCACTTTTCCCTCTAGGTTATTAGACTCCCAAGATTCTTTCATCTCTAATCTTTTTTTCTCCCATCTGGCCTCCCTCCTCCCTCCCTCCCTAGTCACAGTGCCCCCATTATCCCTACACTTCCCCCAGCACCATCTGCCTCCCACCGGCCCCCTTTCCGTGACTTCCCTCCCTCCACCACACCATGGCCCCTTGCATATGCCTCCCTCCTCTCCTCCTTTCGAATACTTTCTCTTTCCCCACCTCCTCTAGGCTAACATCTGTTCCCTACTATCCCCCTTTCATGTTCTATCTTTTTCTTTACCTCCATACAACTTTTCCCTTTCCTGGTTCCTGGTGTCACAGCAGAATTTATATATTCACATTTAAGGGAGCAGCACCAAACATGGATGTACAGGTACCTCTACAGTATGATGAGTCCTTGGGGTATATGCCAAGAAGTGGTATAACTGGTTCATTTTTAGATTTCTGAGGGTTCACCACACTGTTTTCCATAGTGGTTGCATGAGTTTGCACTCCCACCGTCAGTGAATGAGAGTTCCTCTTTCTCCACATCTTCCCCAGCATTTGGAGTCTTTTTTTCTCTTGATGATAGCCAGTCTGATTAGGGAAGATGGAAACTTAAAGTGCTTTTTTATCTGCATTTCTCTAATTAATAAGGATTTTGAACACATATTAAGGTGCTTCTTAACCATTTTTATTTCTTCATTTGAGAATTCTGTGTTTAGGTCTATCATCCATCTTTTTATTGGGTCGTTTATTTTCTTATTTCTGTCTTTTCTGAGTTCTTTGACTATTCTGGATATTAATCCTCTGTCTAAGTGTAAGTGGTGAAGATTTTCTCCCACTCAATGGGTTTTCTCCTCCCTCCTTGGTTGTTTCTTTTGCTTTGTGATTTAATGAGGTCCCATTTACCAATTGTTGACCTTAGTGCCTGAGCAACTGGTGTCTGATTTAGAAAGTCCTTTCCTGTACCTATATCTTGGAGGCTGCTGCCTAGATTTTCTTCTAGCAGTTTCTGAGTTTCAGGTTTGATACTGAGGTCTTTGATCCACTTGGAGTTGCCTTTTGTGCAGGGTGAAAGTTATCAAGTTTCATTCTTCTGCAGGTGGAGATCCAATTTTGCTAGCACCACTTGTTGAAGATGCTGTCTTTCCTCCATTGTGTGTTCTTAGTACCTTTGCCGAATATCAGGTTGCTGAAATTATATATACTCATATTTGAGTCTTCTATTCCATTGATGTACATGTCTATTTGTGTGTCAGTAGCATGCTGTTTTTATGACTATAGCCCTGTAATACGATCTGAGATCTGGTATGGAGATTCCCCCATCACTGTTCTTTTGTCCAAGATTGTTTTGATTATCCTGGGTCTTCTGTGATTCCATATGAACTTTAGGATGATTTTTTTCAAGCTCTGTGAAGAATGTCATAGGTATTTTGATTGGCATTGCATTAAATCTATAAATTGCTTTTGGTAAGATGGTCATTTTCACCATATTGATTCTACCAATTCATGAGCATGTGAGGTCTTTCCATCTCCTAGTGTCTTCCTGACTTACCAGAATCCTGGCCGAACAGGTCTGTCTGCCTGACCTGGGGGCTGAGAATTTGGTGACAGGGGGACTGCCAGGGGAGGCACTTAAGGATCTATGGTAGAGTACTGAGTTAGTCTGATTTAGGAAGCTAGTCCTGGGGATCTGAGCTGAAGGAATTGGAGCCCAACTGTGAAAGAAGTTGGCAGGGGACAAGGTGGGGGTTTATTTTATTTATTATTTTTATTTTATGAGTGTGTTGCCTGCATGGATGTAAGTGTACCCATGTTGTGCAATGCCTGTAGAGGTCAGAAGAGCATGTTGGATCCCCTAGAACTGGAGTTACATATGGTTGTTAGCCACCAAGCCACCAAGTGGGTGCTGGCAATGGAGCCCAGGTCCTCTACAAGAGCAGCCCATGCTCTTAACTGCTGAGCCATCTCTCCAGCCCTGAGAACAATAATTATATCAGAAGAAAATTTGAATAGACAAAAAGGTATGGAGGTACACACCTTTAGTCCCAGTACCGGGGAGGTAGAGGCAGGTGGATCTCTGTGATATACAAGCAAGCCTGGTCTACATAGTAAGTTCCAGGCCACCTGGGACTACAAGGAGACCCTGTATCAAAAACACCAGAAAAAATAATAATAGAGACTAAAATCTAAGTGAATTATGCCTGAAAAATTATTTTATGTACCACTAATAAAGTAGTTCATGACTTTGAGTGTATGGATAGAAGTGAACAGTTACTTTCATTATCCTCTTTAGGAATTGCTAAAAATATAGATTTTTTAAAAAATAGAGTTAAAGTGTAACAGGAAACCATTTTATAAAGATTCCTCAAAACTATATGAAAGAAGAGAGACATATAAGATGGATAATAGCAAATGGTAAGTAGGTAGATAGAAATTAATGTAATATGAGCAAAAACTCTAAACACAAGATTCTAAATATCAGATTGGGCTAAAATTAACACTGTTTCCTATTTAAAAGATATTTTTTTAAAACATAGAGAAATAGAACAAAAAGATGTTTCAAACAACCAAACTAAAAAAATTGCTACTTGAGTTTGACTAACCTCAAACAAATACGTATACAATAAGAATACATTAGGTATAAATTAAGATACTTCTTAACTATCACTAAATAATAGAGTCAAATATATTATTCTTTGGTGGTTGCCACACCCACCGAGAGTAACTTACATTAATTAAATGGCAACTGAAAGTAAAGTTCCTCAGTAGTATTAACCGCGTTTCAAGTACACAACAAATACTTATGATTAAAGGAAGCAGTAACCTGGAAATCACAACATGAAGCTATTTTTATTATCCAAAGTCATCCTGAGCAATGCATTCTGAAAGATCACACTATGTTTAACTTAGTGTAAACTAATCCATTTACTACTTGCAGCATCATACAAGAATGTTAGAAATCTTTAAGGCTATGCTACAATTAGAATTGTCTGTCTTTAATCTGTGGGAAATGACATCTGTGGGGTCAACTGTTTATTAGACTGCACGTCAGTGGGATCATTCAGGGCTTGTCTTTCTGTGCAGGCTTTTTTTTTTATTTTAACATAATGGCCCCCTGTTTCATCCATGCTGTCTCAAGGCTAGGATCTTATCATTTTAATGGTTAATAGTCCACTGCATGTGGAATATTTCTACAACCCCTCATCATGAACATTTCCACTTCTAGGCTATGTGAAAGTACTCCTATGTGAATGATGTGAGCACATCTCCTTTGCAGGCTGGTTTCATCTTCTTTAGTTACACAGTAGCGCAATCGCTGAATCACATGGTAGTTCTGTTTTTAACATTTTTAAGAATCCATACATTGTTTTCTCTTATGGCTGTAATAAATTATATTCCCACTGTGCTCATTACTTTGTGTTTCAGGGCCCCCAAACCCTGGCAAACAGCGAATGGGAATGATTTACAATGGGCTCGCAATTTCAGAGGTTTGTAAATTAAGCATTTCAGGGAAGCATAACAGAGTGGCTCCTCCTGTTGTTATCACCAGTGAGGAGGGGAGCATTCACATGGTGTAGACAAGGGAATAGAGACAGCAGAGCTCACTACTGCTGAGCTATTACACTCAAAGGCTCAGTCTGGTGACTTAGCCTTACTTATTAACATTTACACAGGCTGCTAAAATAGATCATCATCTGGGAAACTCCAACTCAAGCATGAGCCTGTGGGAAACACTTCATATTTAAACCAAAATACACACCATCCGTGCATGAGGGAAACCATAGCCATAACATCTAAATACACTGTATTCTCTGCATGCTAAATAGAACTATCAACTAGCTTGATATGACAGACCAGTTGGCAGAGACTTGAGAAACCACCATTTATAGAAATAAAGTTCTTTCCTGCATCTAGGATTTAATTATAAATGTCAAAAATTCCAAACTGTGTATTTTTCTTCCTGTTCTTAGGAAAGAACTATATCTGAGGCCCCTGAAACCTTGTTCTCATTCACACTTCCCAGAACTTCAAAACCTGTGTTCCTATGCATGCTGTACACTTAATATTAATACTTTTACTACTTTACAACCACAATCCCACTCTGGAAACTACTTCCAAAAGCAGACAATATTTAATCAGTACCTTACTGGCTTAACTTTAGAATTTCCATAGAAAATTCAACAACATAAATGTCATTTTCAATGCAGACTTTAGACTTTATTTTGAATTAATAACTGCAGAGTTCTCAAAGGACACCCATCAGACAGTACTTGGAGTCAGAGAGAAATGAAAAATATTGGCAGTCAGGCAATAAGAGAATAATTTTTTCCTATAAATAGGAAGACCATAAAGGTCAAGAATCAAGGTACAGGTAACAATGGAGGTAAGATTGGAAAATGGTAAGATGATCAGTAGAACCCAGATCCAGATCCGCAGCTTGGTCTGTGACAAGAAGTCTGGCAGGTTCTATACGGCACGTAGGATGGGTGGCAGAATCCAGATCCATGGCCCAATGAAGAGAATCCATGAGGTCTGAAGCCACTGGATCCACAGCTCAGTGAGTAAGAGCTTCCAGACCCATAGCCCAGGGAGTGGCAGCTGCTGGACCCAAAGCTCTGAGTGCCAGCATATGTCGTCTGGCAGGGACTGCAGAATCTAGAGGTCCTTGGACGGTAGCAGGGCCTCTGGCAGGAGCTGTGGACCACATGGGAAGTCTGGCATCTGATGGGCTGGAAGACGTTCTCATGACAGCCACTGTGGAGAGAGGATCCCAGACGGCTGGGGTATGAGGAGCCACAGGATGGCCGTGGGTACTGCAGGTGATCCCAATGGGACTGGGAGGAGAAGTTTCCAGAGCAGCAGCTGTAAGACATGTTGACAGCAGGTGTGAGTTCAGCTGAGTATAAATGAAAAGATTCTGAGTTTGAATGTCACTCCTTATCTGGGCATTTATATACCCTCAGCAATGGGTGTGGCCCCTTTTAGTCTCTTGTTTCCATATTTGGACTACCTCATCTGCATGTATGGAGCTCAGTAATCTTTGTAATTGCAGTTAACTAACTCCTTTCATCTTGTATTTAAGGGCAAATGCTTTCTGTTTTTATAGGTCTGAGTCAATGAAGTACATTTATGTTACAAATGCTATGACTGTATTTAATTAATACCTATGCCACTATGGCCAGGAAATCCCCCTTATTTTCTCTGATTATGACTTGTACATATGTTCTTTTTTGTCAAGAGAATTGTTTCTTATTAGGGAAGAGTTGGAAAAGAATAGCTATCCTACTTTGGTCAGTGGATAAGCAGAAGAAATCTAGTTTTGATAAGAATCCATTTAAAGTTTGCTCCTATATCAAACCTTTGGTTCACATTCCACAAAACATTATACCATCTCTTATTTATTATTAGCAGTGCTTACTGTGTTCAGTAAGATCAAATAATTGAGACTTTGAAAAAAGTTAGCCTAGTCCTGAAAAAGTATGTGGAAATACATTTATTTCAAAAAATGAAATAAATATGAGGCTCTTATGGACCTATGTGGAGAACAATTTATCAGAAATGGCATAGGAGAATAGCATCAGCAAGAACAGTATTGTTCAGATTGTCTTCTGGAAAACATTTGATATCTACTTTTCTCTTAAGTCACTTACATCAATAGTGTTTAAAATAAAGCTGAGAGGGACGTGGTGGCAGCATGCCATTAATCCCAGTCCTCAGAAGGCAGAGGCAGGCAGATCTCTGTGAGATGGAGGTCAACCTGGTTGACATAGTGAGCTCCAGGTTAGCTGGGGCTACTGGGCGAAACTGTCTATAAGTAAACGAATGAATGAATGAATGAATGAATAGTTTGTTCATGCTTTTTAAAAGATATATTTGCATTTTTAAACTGTTCTAATGTCTACTCCCCTATTCACATAGCTCAACTTCACTTCAAAATTATTTATACTTACACAGCATTTCAAGCATTTCAAAGCCTCTTTCTCTCTCTCTCTCACTGGTATACGACTTCGTCTTAGGCTCCTTTGCAGGGATGAATCTAGATCTTGTAAATCTTGAAGAGGATAATTTTGAGACTCATTGCTAATAAAAAAATATATCCATAAGAATATGCATAAGCATAACTGTTAATTTAGATTAAAAATAACAGTAACAAACCTGTTACTAAAATTGAAAAAATCCACAGTTATCACAGAATCAAGACAGTATAATGCTTTCCTTTTTATCTATGAAGTTATTCCTGTATTTGATGGCAGAATACATGATCACCACTGAATGGGAGAGTAGATTTATCGATATGGTTTTCTACAGAAATAATAGAAATAAAAGTAGTATGTTTTTTAGGTATTGTGTAAGACAAAATAATGGAACCATTTTAGATGACAGAGAAAAGCTTCTTTCAACATTACTTTTTGTTATTAGCAGTGTCTCAGCTGTAAGAACCCTTTCCTTTCTTCTAAGTCAGTGCTTCCAGCCTAGGATGGTGTTCCTTGAAGTCCAGGGAGCCTCTGCAGGCTGCCACCTGTTTTGCAAGCCATGGGCGTTATTTATGTGAGAATCAACTGCAAATGGCTGTAGGCCTTGGAGTTCGGGGGCTGTGAAAGTTGCTGATGTGAAAATAAAATAATTCCTTTCAGACCTTGGCAAAATTAGAATTGGGCAAAGGCTCACGCCTGCCTCTCTGAAATAAACACATGAATTTCTCAAAGCCTCATGGGAGATTGCTTCTTATTTTTCCATCCGCCACACAATTTACCTGCATCTCACCTGTTCCCCATGCAGGGAGTTTTAACTCTTAACATCTTTTAATGCTGCTGTAGACAATACTTTCCCTGCAACAGCACCTCCCCCAATGAGCTGACAGTGATTCCTACCTCCTTGGGTTTGACTATTAGACCAAGGAACTTTGTGTCAGAAGTAGTATATGTAAATCTCTCTGATTTTCCCTTTAGAAATTTGCCCTTGCCTCAACCTTTCTGAGATGCATATGCTGAACTTCTCTGCTACTCCCAAATCAGTGTCAGTATTCTTTGGGAGAATCACAGTTGGATTTGTATACACAGAACCTCCTACCACAAGACACAACAGTGTCCTGATTCCAGTATTCCTATGGTCAAAACTCCCTGAATTTTCACCAGGTGATGTTGGAGGTAGAGATGCTTAGTGTTAGTACAAGCAGTTCTCTGCACCCACCTATGGGCCTCTAGGCTACCTCTGTGACTCTTTTGCTACAGAAGTATTTCTAGAACTCTAGATTCTGTTTAACTTTGACTTCCTAGAGCACTGGAAAGGGTCAGACAAGAGAAAGCTATTAACCTTAAGCTTTATTAACTTTTGATTCTGACTTGTCCAAATATAGCAGCACCAGATATGTGAACCTGTGCCCTCCACACTATAAAGAACTCACATTCAGATCTGAAGTCTCTCTCAGAACACCTTTCATGGCAATATCTCCCTGGAGGGTTCAACTTCACCTTGGAAATGATCTTGGTGTATGTTTTTCTTGTTCCTTTTCTTGTCTGTCCCTCTCATTCATTTCAAATAAAAATGCAAAACAATAAACTGCTTGAAAGTCATTATGAGTTTTGAATATAACTATGTTCCCTAACGATTCAAGACAAAAGTAGTAATGCAGTCCACCAAAGGTCAAATAAGTGATTTCAATGGCTCAGAAAGGGTAAGGTCACCAGTTTGCAAGACCTCTCAACAAAGATAAGGATCAAGTGAAAGACACCGAAATTACCAGTGCTTTTTCTCTAAAGGTATATTTAATTGTAATTCATTTACAAATGACACTACACAATTTGAGCTACAAAATAGCTAAGTATCCAAGAGCTAACTTAATCTGACGATTTTTCTAAATTTTTAAATTTCTTTCTGTAGGCTCCTGGTAACTTAATCGTCTGCTTCTGGGAAATTAGATCCTACAGAAAATCATCAATTTAAAATTTTTGTGAAGACAGATATCCTGTCACAAGAGTCAATTGTTTTTTTAATCTCAAGAGACAAGCCCAATGTTAAGGAAACTAATAAAGTCAGCACCTTTGTCTGTCATGGCACAACATTCTGGCTCCCTACTCAGGCAGACCACGACTCCCCTTTCATCTCTGCACACACTCCTCTCATTATTGAGATAGTAAGAAACAATCTTCCACCAGCTCACACTCAGCTCTTCTATCAAATCCAGTCCACACAGTCTGTTTGACTCACACGCAGCCCCCTTGGGGTTCATATCAAACTCCATATGCCAATACCTAAAAATTAAAATTATAACCATAAGATATGGATTCCTGGATTCTTTTTAAAAATGCTTAACATCTGGGGCCACAGGAGTCCCCTGCTCACGGTTGTCTGGAACTCAGTACAAGCCAAGGGTGTGGGCCTCATAACTCCTGGTCACTGTAACCACTCCTCATTCTTATGGGCTTCAAAACCATATCTCAGTCATCATTAATCATTGTATTCATTAACATCTTAATCACTAGAGAGAGAATTACAGAGGTTTGTGCTTAGTTTAAAAAAATTGTAAATGGGGCTGGAGAGATGGTTCAGTGGTTAAGAACACTGACTGCTCTTACAGAAGACCCAGGTTCGAATCACAGCACCCACATGGCAGCTAACAACTGTCCATAACTCCAGTTCCAGGGGATCTGACAGCCTCTTTTGTCCTCCGTGGGCACTGTACAACATGGGTACCCTTACCTACATGCAAGTGTAACATTCATACACATAAAATAAAAATAACAAATAAAATTTTTTTTTAAAAGCCGGGTGTGGTGGCACACGCCTATAGTCCCAGCATTTGAGAGGCAGAGGCAGGCAGATCTTTGTGAGTTCAAGACCATCCTGGTCTGCATAGTGAGTCCCAGGACAGCTGGGGCTACAGAGAAACCCTGTCTCAAAAAGACAAAGAAAAAAAAATGTAGAGAAAGAAATACGGGCACTCCTTCATGGTTTAAAAGAAAATGTCTGTGCTAACAGATTCAGATAGGAGACATCCACCATTAAACAATTACTGGTCAACATCACTTGTACTTAGTAACTGTGTCTTAGATCGTTTAGTGATTTGAAGTTAGATCCTCTGACTTTAAAACACTTCATAAGTCAGTAGAACCTAAATTGGGTATATATGCTACATAAAAGTTGGATCAATAATGCTGTTACCACTGAAAATACAGCAGAATTCACAATGGGTTATTTCAGACAATACAAATAAGCCAAAACATAGGTAAGTAAATAAGTAAATAAACACCCAACTTAGAACAAAATTGAGACTGACCATCTTCTCCAAATTATGTCAGATGTAGCATAACGGTCAGAAATTACTCCCTTAAATCAGAGGTTTGGCATTTAACTTGCAGCCCATAGAAGATCCTCAAAAGGCTAAAATTGCTTTGTGACTGACCACTTAACCATCTCTGCCTAGAATTCATTGTCCTAGAAAATAAAAATAAAAATAAAAAACTGAGAAAAGCAAATCTAATTTCTGTTTGCAATACTGTTATTCTGTTGAAATAGACAGTTCTCCACATCACTGTGGTACACTCTGTCTTCATGAGACAGTGCAGGTGTAATAGCTATTACAGATGTTCTTGTTTGGGAATGTGGAAGATGGATGCAGTGGCATTAATATCTGTCTTGCAAAATGGAGTATCTGAGAGCTTAGACATAGGCTGCATGCCACTACCCAGTGACACTGCACAGATGGCCTCCTGATGACAAGTAATGACTCCTTTAGCCATAAATACCAGAAAGAAGAATAGCAATTTTGACACACTATGACAGCTGAAAATGGGAGGCAGAATAAAAAGGCTTTTGAGTTCAAAGTCAGATGAATGGCCTGTTGAGCTCATGACTGACAAGAAACAATTTCTGGTGTATAGTCGGCACTCCAAAGATGCTTGCTGACAAAATGGAGAGAGCATAG